ACAGCCAATGAGGTAGGAGAAAAGCCATTTCGAAGTCAAGGCAGGCTACTTGGACATTAATTAAAACAAAGACAAAACACTACCAATACAGAGCCAGAATTGCAATGGAATGAAGAGTGAATGGCAACAGAACAAGTGAAAACAGACAATACCTACCATTTATTTGGAAAATGTTTTCTGTAAAAGGGGACATAGAAATGGAACAACAGTAGAGTGAAAATACAGAGTTCAAGGGCCATTATATGTTAAAAATGGAGCGTGTTTGCAGAAGCCAAAATGAAAGGATCTGTAGGCTGAATCAACTCTACAGATACATCTTCAAGTTGTGTAATGTTTTATAATAATTTAACTTTGAATTCCTTTAGACTTAGCATGTACTCTCTTATGTTGCTGCTGTATCTATTTTTTTTTTTATTAACTTAGATTCAGAATACCTGCCTGACCCTATGCCCAGAGGATGCATGTATATATGTGGAATTGATCCAGTAGAGGGGGATATACTGAGAAGAAGGAGATAACTGAGTAGACATAGATCTCAAAAAGAAGAATGAGAATAAGATCCCAGGCATAATTTGGGGAATTGAATTTTAATTTCTTGCACAATCACAGAAGGGGGGCAGTCAAAGAAGATGCATATACATGCAGGTAGAGTTGATGGTAGGAAGTTGATTATTTCTCTGATGACTTCTACCTTGTGAGTGAAGAGAAAGGGAATGTAGGAGATTTGAGGACAGAGGACATGCTATATAGGTCATGTTAATGTTGGAAAGGAAGTCAACATCACAAACATACTAGATCTTCCAGAAAGGGTTGAAGCTTATCTTCAAGAATTCAAGTGAAACCAGCTGTTGTTGTGTGTGATTTTCACCAGTAATATAAAGCTTCTCAGATGCAGAAGGGGAGAGAGTTAGGAGTTGTACTGAACCGAAGCTGAGGTTCCCAGGTGAGTATGACAGAAGAAAGAATTTTAGAAGAGAGCAGAAAGTGTTTGAAAGGGAGGAATTATGAAAATGGTGCATTGAATCTAAGGATAAAGAGTAAAGAAGATAGGAGATTAAATAGATAGTGAAAAAATGATGGTATCTATGAAATGAAATTCTCATGAGACAAAAAGACAATTGATTACAGTGCCCCGTGAGTAGAGTTATGTAATGCCTGGTGATGATAAGTTTGGGGGTATGACGGTGATGGAGGATGGCTGGGTAGGAATGTGATAACTTTACTATAGGGGAGATAAAGTAACTACCAGGACACCATGATGGATGGATCATGCACATGAAGGTTCATGTCACTGGTCTTTTTATAAGGAAAGTGAATGTCTTATTTATTTGGAAGAAGAGAAGTTTTAGGAATGGTATTTTCTGCTTTCAATCTTATATTAAGACGAGTAGTTTGGCTTCTAAATTGTTGAAAATTGGGCTTCACCTGCATTTGTNGGGGGGGGGGGGGGGGGGGGAGTTTCTAGAACAACAACAAAAAATCCTCTTTTTCTCTCTGAGTTTTAAACTTGAAAGATTTAAGATATGGACCATCTGTAGCCATCTCCTCCATATGGAAGCTCATCTGAGAGTGATGTCAACCAAAGGAAGCTCTCTGGAGAAGGAAAAGCTTGTATTTTTCAGTTACTTTGGCCAATGAATTTTCTTTTTCCTAAGCCAGTTTAATTTGGAGTTTTTTATACTTTTAGCCAGGAGGAATCTTAAATGTGCAGAAAGTCTGTCAGATTTTCAGCCAAAGTCCATACCATATATTTGTGTATGTGATACAAGAAAGCATTAGAAGCAAATAAAAGCAAATAAAATTACTTGAAGAGGACCATGGAAAACAGCTTGAAAAGTGTCACTGGACAGATTGGCAGTTAGCTTAAAAAGTAACAAAAACAACAACAACAACAAAAACAGAAAAAAGAATTAACTTAGCATGTTAGTCAAAAACCAGTTATTGTTATCATAAGTGCAAGTAACTCGATATTTATTAGAATGGTCCAAACAAATCATAGCAGTTAAGTGATTATTGATTAATTCAGTCAATCAAAAATGGATTCACTCCTTCAAAGAACACTGAGCATAAATTGTGGGCCAAGGACTATTTTAAGACAACGAGGATACAACAGTAAATCTGACTGGTAAAGTCGTGTATCATGGAGTTTTATTCATCGTGGATAGATATATAAAAATATAATAATAGATGTGGAAAGTGCTTTGTAAAAAACAAGTGTGGGGAGGCAGCAGAGTGTGCAGGAAGGGAAGAGGGTCTATTTCCATGTGGAGGGAGTCAGGGAAAGCCTTTTTGAGGTTATATTTATGCAGAAACAGCATAAAAAGTGAGCCAGCCATTCCAAAATGTGTGGAGAAAATATCAAGTTCACCCCATGGAGGAAACAAGGATTGGGCACAATCCAGAACAGAAAGGTCATCCACATGACTCTAGCAGAGTGATTAAGGGAGAGGTGCTTGACCTAAGCTTAGAAAAGATGGCAGGAGTTAGCTGACGGGGAACTTACTGGGCCATTGCTTGGGAGTTTAAATTTTATGTAAAGAAAAATATGAAGCTATTGAATGTTTTCAAAGAGGAACTGTGGAGTTTAATGTATCTACACTTGCATCACCTCTCTGGCTGAAGTTTGAAGAGTGAATGATAGAAACATAAAAGAAGCAGCAGAAGACTTAATAGTATGTTCTCTGTTGTTGTTGTTGTTGTTTGTAATTCAGGTGGGAATGATGGTGGAAAGAGATATATTTGAAGTAGAGCTGACTTCTTTTGATAGATTTGATGGATGAGGAGAATCACTAGGGCAATGGAAGAAATCGACAGTAATTTTAAGGCTTTGGGCTCAAGCCAACTAAGGAGATGTGGTGTCACTTAATAAAATGCAAACAGTAAGAGAAGAACAAAGTTTAGGGTGGGTCCAAAAGCTGTCATTGCAGAAATTCTCTGATTTTCCAATTAGATATTTGTGTGAAGATGTCATGTTCTAAGCAATCAGTGGCATGTAAGAATTTTCATCTCAGAGTGAAATGTGGAGGCTGGGATATAAAGCTGAGAGACATAAACATAAGATGGTAGATCAGTGTTTTGGTTAAGAACCTGGGATCTGCTGCCAGACTGGTTCGGCTTTGATTTCGGCTCTTCCTCTTACTGGTTGAAGTCATTTAACCTCCATGGACTTTAGTTTCCTTTTCCATAAATAAGAATAATAAACATTGCCAAGTTTATAGTAAGTATTCAAAATGTTTATTAGTAACATTACTATTGTTTTTGTTATAATTATAACATGGAAGCAGATGAGATCACCCAAGGAGGAAGGATAAATAAAGAGATGAATCATAAGACTAAAACCCGAGGCACTTCAACAGTTGGAGGCTGGGAAACAAAGATGAGGCAAACAAAGAAATTGAGAAGGCTTGGCTGCTGTGGATTGGATGGATGTCCCCCCAAACTCACTGATGCTTAATCCCCACTGTAGCTGTTAAGGGTGGGAAATCCTACAAGGATAATTGAAAGGTGGGGTCTTGAAGAGGTGATTAGATTGTGAGGACCATGCCCTGGTAAGTGGATTAATCCATTGATCATTTAATAGTGGTCAAAGGTGTGGTCCTGGGGGGCTTTAAAAGGCAATGGACTGAGAAGTTCTCTCATTGCTCCACCATTCTGCCATGTGAGACCCCTGCATCACTGTCACCACCAATGAGGCTCTCACCAGCTGTGTTCCCTGGACTTAGGACTTCTCAGCCTCCAAAACTGTAAGCAATAAATATTGTTTCTTTATAAATTACCCAGTTTCAGGTATTTCTGTTATAAGCAACAGAAATGGACTAAAACGACAGCCAATGAGGTAGGAGAAAAGCCATTTCGAAGTCAAGGCAGGCTACTTGGACATTAATTAAAACAAAGACAAAACACTACCAATACAGAGCCAGAATTGCAATGGAATGAAGAGTGAATGGCAACAGAACAAGTGAAAACAGACAATACCTACCATTTATTTGGAAAATGTTTTCTGTAAAAGGGGACATAGAAATGGAACAACAGTAGAGTGAAAATACAGAGTTCAAGGGCCATTATATGTTAAAAATGGAGCGTGTTTGCAGAAGCCAAAATGAAAGGATCTGTAGGCTGAATCAACTCTACAGATACATCTTCAAGTTGTGTAATGTTTTATAATAATTTAACTTTGAATTCCTTTAGACTTAGCATGTACTCTCTTATGTTGCTGCTGTATCTATTTTTTTTTTATTAACTTAGATTCAGAATACCTGCCTGACCCTATGCCCAGAGGATGCATGTATATATGTGGAATTGATCCAGTAGAGGGGGATATACTGAGAAGAAGGAGATAACTGAGTAGACATAGATCTCAAAAAGAAGAATGAGAATAAGATCCCAGGCATAATTTGGGGAATTGAATTTTAATTTCTTGCACAATCACAGAAGGGGGGCAGTCAAAGAAGATGCATATACATGCAGGTAGAGTTGATGGTAGGAAGTTGATTATTTCTCTGATGACTTCTACCTTGTGAGTGAAGAGAAAGGGAATGTAGGAGATTTGAGGACAGAGGACATGCTATATAGGTCATGTTAATGTTGGAAAGGAAGTCAACATCACAAACATACTAGATCTTCCAGAAAGGGTTGAAGCTTATCTTCAAGAATTCAAGTGAAACCAGCTGTTGTTGTGTGTGATTTTCACCAGTAATATAAAGCTTCTCAGACGCAGAAGGGGAGAGAGTTAGGAGTTGTACTGAACCGAAGCTGAGGTTCCCAGGTGAGTATGACAGAAGAAAGAATTTTAGAAGAGAGCAGAAAGTGTTTGAAAGGGAGGAATTATGAAAATGGTGCATTGAATCTAAGGATAAAGAGTAAAGAAGATAGGAGATTAAATAGATAGTGAAAAAATGATGGTATCTATGAAATGAAATTCTCATGAGACAAAAAGACAATTGATTACAGTGCCCCGTGAGTAGAGTTATGTAATGCCTGGTGATGATAAGTTTGGGGGTATGACGGTGATGGAGGATGGCTGGGTAGGAATGTGATAACTTTACTATAGGGGAGATAAAGTAACTACCAGGACACCATGATGGATGGATCATGCACATGAAGGTTCATGTCACTGGGAATGATATATGCAGAGGATAAGGGTGAGCCGGGGCAAAAGTCACCAACAATAAGAGGGCTTGACGAAGAGATCACGTAGTTTATGGCAGGCAAGAGGTTGTGGATAACTAAGCCAAATGTCATGACTTTTAAAATGGATGAAGTTTTTGAAAGAGTAAAGGGAGGAAATAATTTGTAAGAGAAAATGTAGACCAAGAAAAGCCCTTCCGTCCTCAATTTATGTGAGTTAAGAGGAAATGATAGCCACCATTTTCAAAGGAGTGCACTGAGAAACCTTTATTAGGAGACAGTGATTCTTTTAAGTTAAAGGAAGCAAAGGAAAATTTTCCAGGAGAAACTCTGAACAAAGGTGAGTTTGTAATTGCAGACCAGGCTTGGAATATTCTGGTAGGAGGAGATTGGATAAGATTAGGGGATACAGACAGCACTGTCTGTATGAGTTTATGGTGATGCTGTAAGACCTAGAGTTTTAGACTTCCACTGGTAAGTAGAAGGTCTCTGAGGCAACATGGGATTCATCCTAATGGTTCTTTATAATAATGCAACTAATCACTGCAGGTAGTAGTTTTATTCCTTCTAATCATTGGAGCGGGATTTCTACACCTTCCTGCAGCTCTGAAGGATATAGACTTTGGGGGCCTGAGCAAGGGTGCGTGGCGGTGGGTCATCCTGGGAATGACTGCTGCTCTCTGCTCACCATTGTCACAGAACAGCGAGAAGGCAACCACAAGGAGAAGATTGTGTTTTATTTAAAATTAATTCTATTGAAGCAAACAGGATGGTGTTTCATTAATTTTATAATGAGTTGGAGCCAAAAGATGTTGCAAAATGTTTTGGGCATCAAGAGATAAAACCATAAAGCCTCCGTACCTAGATAATGCCGTTGGTCATAATAACTGATCCCCTGAAGGTTTCTGATAACCAAACTTGGGCTCTATTAAGAAAATTATTTTGAGACTAGAAGATATTTACCATGGATAAGTGAGGCTGGAACTGTAATTAATCCTTCCTTGCTGCGTAATGGAGATTGGGGCCTCATAAGATTGTTAGAAACTTGAGCTCTCACAGTTCAAAACTTATTTTGAAATACTGGAGAGGGTCCAAATAAGACCAAGAGAAATGATTCAAGAAATTGTTCCTTTTTATAAGGAAAGTGAATGTCTTATTTATTTGGAAGAAGAGAAGTTTTAGGAATGGTATCTTCTGCTTTCAATCTTATATTAAGACGAGTAGTTTGGCTTCTAAATTGTTGAAAATTGGGCTTCACCTGCATTTGTACATAGTGTCCTGAAACCTAAGGAAGGCATCACTTAAACACCAAAAGTTCACCAAAGAATAGTGTGAAAATATTATTTCTGGAAATAGTCTTACAGGTTTAGTCAGAGCCCTCCAAAAAGCAAGGGAGTCGGTTGCTCCCACCTCTCTGTCACATGACAATGTGTGGAACACAAGATTAAATAACGAGCGAAGAGGAAGAAACGTCAAGTGTTTTATGGACATTCCATTAATCTATTTTTATTCTAAGCTTCTGACAGAGCCTAAAAACTAGTGACAGTTAAACAGGGCTTGAAATAGAACCTAAGGCACCAAGAGCCCCACTATCTTTCTACATTCACTCATCCCCCTCAGATGAGCTTAGCAACATCTGGGCACCTAAACCAGAGAAAACCCAATTTGGTTTTCTCCTTCTTTGTGTCATGTATGTTGCTGGATCATTTAATTCTGAATCTCATTTTTCCCATCTGTGAATAGTGATAACCACTCTGCTTAAGAATGTGTTGAATTAACAATAATACATTATAAATCACCCAACACCCGGTGTGGGAGCTTGCTGCTAAACAGAGGCAGCACAGGAACTTAGACTCAGGCCTCTTGCCAGCGATGCTAGCAAAAGTAGCTTCTGTCGTTGCAGCAAGACCTCCATGAGGCTGAGAAGTCCCTACCTCCACGATGGCCTCTCTACTTTTTGAGAGGTCTTGGTAGACTTCATACCTTACCCACTCTCGCTTTTTTTGTTCCAAATAAGATTGGTTCTGAGAAAAATAATGCACACTAAAGACAAATTATTTGGAAGCAGGTTTGGATGATAAGAGTGCCCTGAATAGACTACTCAGGCAAAGACATTTTGAGGGGATGAAAGGAGCGAGGAAAGGCATAAAGGGGAGTGAGAGTCCTGAAGCAGACGTCCTTCTCCCCATCACTGTACCCAGGACCAAAGCTGCTTTCAGAATTCAATACAGCTATTCACTTCTGGTCATGGAAGAAAGATTCCTGGTGCATAAGTATGAACCAGACTCCTAGACCTGTGTAAAGCCTACCGGAATACAAGATGCAAGTTTCATCTTTCTCTAGAACTTTTACAGTGTGAAAGTGAGGAATGGAAATTTGATATCTTACATTTTTCTCCTTTTCTGTAGTAAAACTCAGTTTCACAAACCATCTCAGGTACCAAGATCTTAAAACAAATCTTGTACTCAAGGAGAAAATTACTTTTTGTGTAATTTGATGTGTTTGGCTCTGATAGATAAAAGAGTGAAAAAGGAGTCTTTTTCTTTCTTTCTTTTTTTTTTAGAACACTCAGATTATACTTATGCATTATTCCTAGACATAATTTAAAAAAAAATACGCAAAAGGTTCATTGTTCATTGACATCAAAGCATTACAAGCAATCAAAATAATTTGGATATGTATATCTTTTTATTTTTACTCATCCAACGTTAAACAGGTAAGGCATTTGCAACATTTACTGAATTTCAGTTAACATTAATAAAAAGTGAATAAGGCAATTCATGACAGGCAAAGTTTGGGAAAATTATTTCTTATTAGAATATTTCCAAAATAGCCATCTGTAGTATCCCCATATACATTAAGTTCTTTTTTTTAATCAGTGAATTGATTACAGATGAGATATGTTAAAACTAACTTTTACTATTTAAAAATTTTAAGGTAACACATTTGCAATTATTACTCCATTAACAATTTTAAGAGCTTTTCTATACCATGTAATTTGGATTCTACTGCCTAGTGTTGGTGACTATAAAATAATTCGGGGTTTTTAAAGACTGAGAAGCATTTCTTCAGGTTAGTTTTTCCAAACAGAAAGTTAAGTGTTACAAATTCCACCTCCCACAGACCAGAATTCACATCCATTGGTCAGGGGCAAATACCAGTGGCTCTGCGTCCTCGTCACTTTGTGCCATTTCACCAAGTCGGAGCCAAAGGTAAGTTTTTACACTTGCTTTCTTCTTGGGTTAGAGACTTTTTGACCCTACTGTAACAACCTTTAAAACATAATTCAACTTGCTTTAATATCTCCTGGTAAACTATGATTTGATGGTTTTATTTTTACTCAAATGGTTTAATTTTGCTATTGATTCTGTATATTATTCTTGGAAAATACAAAACCTAAATTAGCTTAGGAATTAATAACATACAGCAAAATAGTTTATCTTAATAGTCATGACAGATGCCAATAAAATTATACTAGTTTCCAATATATGCCTTAAATCAAGTACCCTGACACAGATCACAGCCTTTGCCAATATAAACAGACACTATTGATTAATATTGTTGTAATATTATGCAAAAGAAGAAAATAGTGAACTTGCAGGTGTTTAAAAATAGTCTAATGATTATATGGCATTATGCATTCAGGATGCCTTTTTTTAAGCTATTTATTTTAAAGTTCTAAATAAATATACATTTCCAAAATACTATGAAATCATGTAAAGTGGACAATAAGTCCAAAGTTTTAACTAAGTAACTATATTAAATACTAATATAATTACTTGAAGAAAGAAATATGAGTTTTTTTAACTAAGCATAGATAGATGCTCTTCACATTTTTAAGGTTTACATAGACTGCCTTAATTCTGATGGCTGTAGGGGAAGTGTAAAATGCAAATAAACTTTGATATGCAGACATTTATACTAAAATATAAAGTATGAAGTGAGAAAAATATCAGCAAGTGCATAATTTCTTTGAGCAATGGTAGTTGCTAGAAGTGTACAAGAAAAAATTTTTTTTAGGTTAGTGGTAGCCACTGTTAATGCTTCCCACTTGAATACAGAAGAATGGTTCCTGGAAGACTTGCTAATCACACTGTTTTAGTAAGTAGGACTTTGTTGGTAATTGCCTAGTACAATTCCAAATCTGCAATCCTGCAAAGACCTCTGTAATGGCAAATGAAACAGAGACTTAGTTTACCCACCGTGAATAAAAAATTTATTTGAAGAAAGCATAGAGGGGATAAAAAGGAGGTCTTTGTACTGCTTCTTATTCTCACAGGAATTTCATATCCTTCTGCCTAAACCTGCTTCATAAAGACTTTCTTTCAAGTAACTGAAGGTCAGTTTGCCTGCCAGTGCATTCAAGTTTAAAAGTTACATTTATCATGAATTCCCTTTTATATGTGCGCATAGGTCCTAACACCACATATACTGTTCTTAACGTAGACCCAAGAAGTATACTTAAAATACAAAACCTTTTAAAATGAGACATGCTTAATAAACTTTTATAATACTTTGCTCAATAGATGACCACTATGTAACTTTTTTGATAGGACCAACATAAATGCTTAAAATTAAACATGAGTTTTTATTTTTTTTTCTAAACCAAAAAGTATTCGAAGAAGTATGTTGAGAAATAAAATAATAAAAATTATAAGATCTTGATTGAATCCCCCCAAAACATTGTTATAATGCAAAATAACAATTGTACTTATTAAAGAATTACAAAACAAAATATTGCCCTAATCCCATGCATATGCAAATCCTCTTCTAAGAGAATCTTTCCAAATAGTGCCTTTTAAACATGCATTCTTATTGATTCTGAGTCTAAACCTTAGGAAGCTATTAAAAATTAAAATAAAATGCTAAGGGGCCGGCCCGGTGGCGCACTGCTACA